CCGGGAGGTCTCCCCGCCGTTGCGTCGGCGAGACTGGGCGCTGGACTGCTGGGTTGACTCATCGTGGTCAGATGAAGGCATCTTGAGTGGTTTTTTGGAAGTGAAAGGTATGAGAAAAAGATGGGTACGATGTGGGATTCCACGAGGTCAAAAAATTGATACCAAGTAACTTATGGGGCCTCCTTCTAGCGCCAAACTGTTGACGGGCGTTACCGGTCAACGGTTAAAAAGATAAATAATAAGAAGGTAACGAGGAAAAAACAAAGAAATATGGTTTAATTATGATTTTATTTATCGATCACGAGGTCGGCCTCTCGTACGAGGTCGGCGCTTGCAATATCCTTACAAATTCTTACACAGTTTCTTATACGAGTTTAGAGAGAGAAAGTAGAGAGAGAGTCTCAAAGTTGGGATTTCAACAACCCAGAAATAAATGAGGGGGTTGCTATTTATAGTTCTCTTTAATATGGAACTGTTCAGGCACTGTTCACCGCTCTTGTCGTACAGTGTCCTTGCAGGACAGTCCGGCGCCTCCCTGACAGAATTCAATGCGATTTGAAGTTTTCCTCATCATTGCCTGATAGGCATTTAATGCACATATGGAGGTCATTTAATGCTGGCAGGCTTTATGTTTTGGCTAGTGGATGTAAACCTGCAGGCTAGGACACCCTGTCCAATCGCCAATGATTGCTCTCCAAGTGGCATTATTATATTATTATCGAGATCGGCATCAATCATTGGAGATCCGTTCTGAGACCTCAGGTCGGCTCCTGTTTCCATTTTGCTCCTTCGGCCCCGGGGAATCTTCCTCCAGCCCGTCACTCATCAGACCGGCACCGGTACTTGGATGTCGTAAACACCGGGCTAATGGATGGACCCACGGGGGTATCAGGATCCATCAATTTCGGAGTTCAGCTCGGCACCTTTGCACCGGACCGGGTCTCCTGTCCGTCTCTCGAGGCTGCCTTGTTCGGTTTCTTTCGGGGGCGAATTCGGATGTCAACACCTCCCAAGACAAACATATATTCACAACTCTATGAAGCACAAAACCGTATATGCAACCCTCGTCAATTGATCACTTTTTCAACATTTTTTTTTATTTTTTTATATTTTTTTTTACTCTTTTTTATTTTATTTTATTTGAGAGACCAATTTTTTTCCAAACAAGAACAAACTTCAAGGACAATACTTTCTAGTGTAGCCATTGGAGATCATCCAATTGTTCTAGAATGGTTTCCTGTTACTCATTACTCATGACTCGACAATTCAAATCGAGAGTAAGAGGAGTAGAATCCTCACAATTCACCTCGCGAGCTCTCTTTATTTTATTCTTTTTTTTCTCATCAAATGCCTCAAATTACACAAACAAATCATAACACATCTCATACTCATTATTCCCAAAACAAAAAATCATCATAACTCTCATCACATAAAGCTTAATTCAACCCCATCATCTCCAAATAATATGAATTTAACCATATCAAGGGCTATCAATAAAAGGCTCAAGGCTCAAACGGGCTACTAAGGATAAAATTATAGAAAAAACAAAAGAGGATAAAACGGGCTAGATAACAAAAATCTCTTAAATCATTTTCAAAACTCCATTTACATAATCATATTTTTCAAGTAAGATCCAATGCAAGTTCTAGTATCCTAAGTATATTCAACTAATCACACAAGAGATAAAATAAGGCTCAAATCCTCTCCAAGGCAAATAAATCATTAATTTAAAGCAATAAAGTTATTCATCAAGACATATAATTCATGATCACAATCACAATATCTCAATTAAGATAAGCAACTTTAAACAATTCTCGTTTATCCACCAATCATCCAAAACACACACAAGACAAAGCAAAAATATTCGACTCAATCAAATTATTACTAATCTAATAAAGCAAGTAAACGAGCATTCTAAAAAAAAAAATAAAATTAACTAAAAAAAATCATAAAAATAAAACCTAATGCAAGCAACTATATGATACGCAATAAAGCGATAAAACTCAAGATAAACGACATCTCTCTCCCCCAAACTTATTCTTTGGAAAAAGTTATGTTTGAAGAAAATAAGTGGCATATCTCAAGTAACTAACCGAAAAGTCGAGCGAGCTCCACTGTAAGCAATCCTTGCACCCTTGAGCACGACCATCTCCTCCATGCTTCGCTCGAACACTTGATCACCACTATTTTTTTTTAATTTTTTTTACTTTTTTTTTTTCTTTTTCCAGATTTTTTTAAAAAATAATAATAATAATAATAAAATAAATAAAAACAAAAATAAAAAATAAAAATAAAAATAAAAGCAATAACCGATGGGTTGCCTCCCAACAAGCGCTTAATTTAACGTCTTTAGATAGATGTCTTCCGAGCTCTCAATAAGGATCATTTCCATTCATCCCAATCTCCTCCTTGGTCTTCTCATGGCGTCGGCTACCGTCTTTTTGCTCTTGAATTTTTCAACCACGAGCAAGTGTAAAAGTTCGGTATTCATCATAGGCTCGAAACATGATCTCACCAAGCTCCATGTCAATAAGTACCGTCCACTGGTTAGGAATGGCCTTCCTAAAATTAACGGTGTATCACCGTTATCCTTCATATCTACCACCACAAAATCCGTCGGAAAATTATTCCATCGACCGTCAACTAAACATCCTTGACAATTCCCGTGGGACGAACTTGGGATTTATCCGCCATTTGAAGAGTGATTGTAGTCGGTTGAAGCTTCTCCAATCTCAACATCTCGAAAATAGAGAGTGACATTAAGTTAACGCCCGCACCTAAGTCGCATAGCCCTTTCCCGGTATAAAATTCTCCAACTCCTCAATCGATATAAAATCCACCGGGATCTTCACACTTAATAGGACGGTCTATTTGAAGTATTGCACTACTCTCCTCCTTGAGTGTAACCACCTCATGAGCCTCAACCGAGCTCTCCATCTTCTCGTCTGAATCAGCAACAACCATTTCGATCATTGGTTCCATTTCTTCTTGCTCATGCACTTCGTGCACCTTAGTCGAAACTTCCTCTATCATCTCTTGAGCATCTTCTGCTTTGCAATCCTCTGGGTTGATCTTCGTATGACTCAAAAATTGCTCCTCTTGTTGTAGACTCTCGACCATCGCTGCCATTTGCCCCAAGTGCTGCCCAATCGACTTCATTCGTTTCTCTATCGTGGAGAACTTAGCAAGAGAGTCGTCCATGAATTTTTGCGTCTGAATCATAAATGTTTCCGTGTCACTCATGAATGAGGTGAGAATATCTTCGATTGCCGGTTTCTTTGGCTGAGTGTCACCCATGAACTTTTGCGTCTCAACCATGAATGAGGCGAACACATCTTCGAGTGCCGGCTTCTTCAGCTCATTGATGACCCCATTGGTCACTGAAACCATTGGCGGTTGTAGAGCGTTGTATGAATTGGAGTACGATAAATTAGGATAATTTTGGTTTCCCGAATAGTACGTGTTACCTCCTTGATATCCCAAGAAATTGTCGAAATTTCGGTCCTGCAAATAATTCACGTTGTGGACGGGTTCATACATTGATACCGCATTCAACCCAACATTCTCGTTCTTCACCATGGAGTCCACCTGCTTCACAAATGAGGCTAGTTGTGCCCTCAACGCAATCATCGAGTCCGATTCGGTGGTTGCCGCCACTCCATTAAACATCGTCTGCTCCACCGGCCATTGGTAGCTGTAAAACGCCATCTCGCAAGAAAGAAAGAAGAACAAGAAAATATCAAAAAAGAGAAAAAGAAAAGCAAAAAAAAATAAAAAAAATGTCTAAACTAGTATCTGTTCGTCTTCTTCTAATATTAATCAATTTAATAAACAATCCCCGGCAACGGCGCCAAAAATTTGTTCGCTAATTATTTTTGCTATCCGCAAGTGTACGGAGTAGCTATAGGTAGTGGCGAGCAAAGTCGTATTCCACAGAGATTGTAGTTAAATTAATCAAGTACTAAAATAGTGACGATTAAATATTATCTAGACTAGTGAATTTGTAACTCCCCGTTCGTTTATTAGGATTTTTGGATTTTTATATTATTATTTATTTGCTTATGCCTTACTTTATTTAATTGCCGTTTGAATTATGTAATTTTCCCAAATTATTTAATTATCGTATTTTATTTTATTTTGGTAATTACTCGATATTCTCGGTTAGTTTTATTATTTAATTGGAGGTTCTCGTCTAATTGATTTAATAAGTCGCGCTATTTTATTATTATCCATTGCCAATTTGTTTAATCGTATCGGTCGGAAGTCCTTGTTATCGTGTTATTCTATCGGCCTAATTTATCAGGAATATTTTCGGCTCATTTCGGATATTTATTTTCCGACCCTTATTGGAATTAATACTAGCCAAATTGATTTTAATTAATTCCAGCTCAAAAATCATATCCAACCGGCCCAATTGTTTTAGTCTTAAGTAAATCATTTTTCTTTTATTTCTCGGCCCACACCTCACTTAGGCCCAAGAAGCCAGCCCACCTCTCATTTGAGCCGGATTTCTCACTTAGAACGGGTCTCCTTCCCCGAACGAACTTTCCTTTTCTCTCGGCAATCAATCCTCCTCCCTCAGCGACCTCGAAGCTCGATCCCATGGAATCCGGCCCATCATTACCTTAATCCTCACAGTATTTAAATCAGAAGGAGAGATTAACATTTGGCAAACTCTATTACTCCCCCAATTTCTCTATCGCGAGCAAAATTCGAGAGCGAGCTTTTTCCCGAAACGGCCTCGCAGAGGTGAACCTATAGAAATCCGGCGAGTCTCGATCAAGCAACCGAGGGCGGCATCACCTGCGAGTTCCGTGGCGTGGCTCAAACGAGCACCAGAGGCCGAAGAGTTCGAGTTTTCGGCGACCAAAACTTCAGTTTCCGATGGCTGAAGAAATCCGACGAGTTCCAGGCTGGGCTGGCGACCGTCGTCCATTCACGGCGAGATGAGCACCACCAGACCAAGAACGCCAGATTCCCGGCGTTGATGAGAGCTGACCATGGCAGAAAGGAAAGCCGACGACCCTGAACGAGCGGACCTTGCAGCGGCGAGCCGAAGGCCTCCGTCTGGCGAGTGGCAGCCTTTCACGGCGAACCGAGGACCACCGGTCGGACAGAGGAGCGGTCGAGAGTAGCAGTCCCAGCCGAGCTTAGCCTTTTTCCGAGCACCAGTCCGAAGTAGCGGAGCAATTTTCGAGCGCATCAGCTTTCCGGTGAGGAGTCCCGAGCCGTCCGAGGTTTAAACGGCAGCCTTCGAGAATCGGGGATTCGGGACTGAAAGCCATTGTTCAGCATCCAAACACCTAACTTTGTGCGTTTATCTCGTACAGCAATCTGAGTGCCACTCGAGGCTGAAAACGGGCAAGCTATGCCGAGAGCTTTTTGCTTCAGCCAACTGAGCCTCGCGCGTTCAAACTGAGCCCCCGTTCCGGCTTTGTTTCTTAAAACCCGAGAGAGGTATTCGGCTAAACCTTTATACCCCATTTTCTGGCCGATTTCAGTAGTGTTGTGCGTTTGTAATTGTCTGCTGTTGTGTAGATGATTTTGGCTGTGAACCAGTTAAGTCATGTGGACTTAGAGTTAAATTCTCTATGTGCATATGTAATGGTTGGTCAGGTTGTTTATTTGTGGTCAGGTCAAGTTTTGATTTGTTTATTTGATTGGAGATGTTAAGCTGTATGAATGGATTTTAGAATTTGAGATTCATTGTTTCATTGTTGAAACCTTGATTAAAATGATTATGGTGGAGTTTTGATATTGCAAATATTTTGTGCTTATGTGCTGATAAAGCGAGTTTGGTAATGCCTGTTTAGTTAAGATATGAAGGCCAACCACCGACACATAACCCACGCTCCACAAAATCCGTCGACCGAGAAGAGGCACCACGCCGACTGAGAAGAGCGCAAGCACTAGGGGTGAGCATAGGTCGGTACGGTTCGGAGATTTATCAAACTCCAAACCGTACCGAAGTTCGGAGATCACTAAAATTTGATCTCCAGAACCGTAGCAAAAAATCGATTCGATTCGGTTCGGTTTTTTTTATTTTTCGGTTCGATTCGGTTTTCAGGACTATTGGGACGGTTCGGTTCGGTTCGGATATTCGGAGATTTCTTATTGTTTTGTTTTATTTTTTTTTTAATTACCACCTACGTATATTTTATTTTTTATATGTTTTTTTTTTAAATGCAACATTTATCAATACTTCATCCTACTAAAGATTTTATTTTAAATCAACTTTAGAAGTAACCTTAAATTTTAGTTAAGACCAAATTCAACTAACATTGAAAATTTAAAATTCAAACAAAATATAATATAGTTTTTTATTAAAGTAGTATTTATTTAACCTTCCATACCATGTTAGTTACAAGAGAGAATAAGGCTAAACATCCACAAATTTAAGCAAAATTTAAAATTTTTTTTTAAAATAAATTCTTTAACCTTTCATTCCTTTTTAAATATTTTCTTTTTTTAATGAAGGAGAAATTCAATTGTAGATCAAGTACTACTAAACATGAAATTTAAGTTAATCTTAATTGTTTTTATTATATTTTATTTGCATTTTAAACATTCTCAAATTTTATAGGATCAAAGTTGACATATATATTAGTAACACCCATCTATGTTTATAATTCGATTCTTAATTTCCGTTCTTTGGTTCAGTACGGTATGAGACGGTTCGGTTCAATTCTCGTTACAGATATTTGTAAAATCTCTAGAACCGTACCAATTATTTTTTCGGTTCGGTTCAGTTCGAAAAAAGTCAAATGGTCAACGATTATTTTTTGGTTCGGAGTGAATTTCAAAACGGTTCAGAATTCTCCTAGTCTCATGCTCAGCCCTAGCAATGCTCAGCCCTAGCAAGCACGCAAGAAGTCGCGACCCTTGTGCCGGTCTAATTGGGAAGGTGCAACACCTCCGTCGGAAGGAGGTGCCGCTAGATCTAGATTGGGGTTATGTGGAGATTTGGGGGAAATTGGGTTCAGGAGAGAAAATTATCAAAATTTGCTTCAATACATTATCAAACTTTCAAAATTGCTAATACTTTTCTTTTTTTAGAACAAACTTTTTCTTTGCAGAAATATGGATTCTATAACAGATGAAATATAATATTCATGTTAAAAAAAAAAAAAAAATCTTTTGCACACAGAAATTACTGCTCTGCTCCAAAAGAATATTCCAAACCAAACATGGGGAAGAAGATTTTGATTTACACAACGAAGAAAATAAGAATTTGAATCCCAAATCTGATATCTGAAGTTTACATCCCTGAGGATGTTCTGTTTATCCTTTGAGCACCCAACTTTGGAACAGCAGGTTTGCCTGCTCGGGCTCGTCCAGCCAACAAAGGCTTCTGCCCGGCTGAAGGTAGAGGAGCTGCAATGGAGGCCCAAAGGTGGTCATCCGCTGACCCACCAGATTTCAAATTCAACGAATTGGATGAAGTCTTAGGAATCGAGGCGGCACAAGAATGGTCATCCTCTGCAGCACCCCACAAGTCACCATCATCGTCTTTACTCGGCTTTAGTGTGCTGCTCTTAGGTCTTAAATTCGGAACTGAACCACAAACAATAAACTTCTCATGAGATAAATATCCAAATATTCTCTGAAGTGGAAAAGAGGACACAGCCTGCAGGTCAAAGCTTTCTATGGATTCTAAAACTACCCTTGAGTTTCCACATATATGTTTTCTCGAAATTACTAATACCCTGTAACATATGCTTCTATTTAATTATTTTATACCTATTCAGAAGGAAATATGATAAACAAATACGAACCTTTGTGGGGATATTCATAAAATTTGACGAACAAATTCTCTCTCTGTAATTGGGTTAAACCTTCATTACTTCTTAACCTAAATTTCATTTAACACTGTTCTTTTAGTGTCAAGACTAGCAATCAGGAATTCCGCCCATCCCAAAACTACTTGTCTGTTTGTACCCTCAGTTCAGTATACTTATCACATAATCTTTCCATAAAGTTTGCACTTCTCCATCTTACAAACATTTTCCCATTTATGAATCCATGTTTACAAGCCATAATAAAAATGGACAATTTTGGAGGATTGGGCCAATTATCTAAGTTCTGTTACCAACAATTATTTTGGTACAAATTCTTTGAACCAAAATGACAAGCAACTAAGCCGGGCGAGGGGGTTGGAGTTGTTGACTTTCAATATTACTCTTTGACCTGGTCATGATTCAAAAAGTTGAGAGATGTACCTTGTGGTTTCAGCAAAGAGACTGGCCGCTTTTGAGCTTCCTGGATGTTTGCAAGAGCAGGGGAAGGTTTTGCCTCCTCGAGTGGTTCCATGTCATCCCAGCTCTCTTTGTCACTGTCATTTTCTCCAAGGATGCCGTTTTCGAGTTCTCCCCACCCATCAGTTGATGCTGGGGATGGAGGTCGGTTGTGATCAACAAAATGACTTAAGTCAGTCTTGGAACTCACGCGGACTGGCGCTATACTTGCATCCTCCAACACTAATGACATACAAACACTAATTAGCAGTGTCTAGGAAATAAATCCGCACACAACCACAATCACATATAGCTAAAATAGGAAAGACCTCTTAACATTCAATGTTTCACAGTATTAATTTATTTACAACATATTTGGAGGTGTACCGAAACTGGCATTAGAGGTGGAAGATGCAAGAGGTGCAGTTGTGTTTGATGAAGCCAGGGTACTCTGCTCAGAAGGTTTGCCTTTCATAGTCAAAGAACTCATAGCCCATCTGCACAATCACATTAACATTGAACATGAAGGGAAAATCTCTTCGTAAGGAAGCACCAAATTATTCCAGGTAAAAATTATATGGCTGCAATAAGCACAACCTAAACATAACTCCATTCACTGATAAACCAGAGAGATCAGGGGAAAGAGGAGAAACAACCATATGAATGTTCTATATATTTCTACAGTTATTATTAGTATTCATTTGAATACAAACCATTTTCTCTCTCTTCCACATCAATATTCCATTAAATAACATCACAGTCAAACACAATCCCACATTGGCTCAAACATTTAAAGTCATTCAGAGTGAGCCCCTTAATCTACATATTCAATTATTACATTATAAATACACATAATTTTGTGATTTATTATTTTACAATTCATTAACAAGATACCACAAAAAAACAATATAGATATTTGAAAATAAATATAGGGACAAAATAAATTAGTCAATCACAAATAAATTTGTCACAAATATTAAAACATGTTTTTCCATTTTCATTTCCGGACCATACCAAAATAGAATTTTAGCTGGAGACTACCTATTCAAAAGGGCTAATTTATCTCAGATGTCCACTATATTCATAATGTATGCTGCATAAAAAGGTAAAACAAAAAAATACAAAGCAAGGAGAAACTGGGAAGATTGAAGGGGACACTATCACACTACCAAATAAGAATTACCAAAACAAATGAATGACGCTAATCGTTATGACATTAGGCTGTCTCCATTTAACTGATAAACCTTGGTTTTCAAATGCTAACAAGGCATTTAAATACCCTCAAGAAACACCAACATGGGCGCCCAAAGGAAATAAATCCTAACTTGTGTTCAGTCACCAGAGGAACAAAGTGTCGATATCAAACCCTTAGGTTGTCGAACAATCTAGTCCAAAAAATGTTTAGTACTATATGATAAAAGGTAAGCCAGGGTGAAGGAGATTAAAACCATCAAAATGGAAACTAATGTTTAAAAAATTTAGCGAGGGCGATCTTGGATGCTTCACTTCCATATTTTCTACATCTATATCTCATTGAAACCAAAATATGTGTCATGCATCTACTGCATAAAGAGATTAACAGAAGAACTAGAAAGGCCCAGATTTAGAGATAGCATACCCAAGTAAACTTGCATTTCCAGGAATTGATGAAATCCCCGTGCCAGTACCTGTGACGTCCCCAGTTGTTGTCTACAGAAAATAAAAAGTGGCAATTAAACCTAAATAAAAGTACATCGTAAGAGATTTGACAGAAGAGGTCATCATGAAACCCCAGCCCTCTGAATTTCTTGAACCAAAACCAATGCCATGTTCGTTGAAATATCTTCCAAAATTATAATTAAGGTTTAAGAAAATGTTAACCAAGACCAACTGGTATAGTATAATTATCGATGCAAACGGCACAAACAAGGAGATGCATGTAGCCTCTTTCAGGCATCCATCATCAGATATTGGTAGATCCGAAAAATTCCAACTACAGGGGTAACAAAAAAGAATTATCAAAAAATAAGGTCGTGATACTTGAATTTAAAACTCAATCCCGTAGCAACTAACTCCCCACTCCAACATACAGGTGTACAGACTTCACATATTCTCATTACTTCACACCTCGCATCATCTAAAAGATCAAAAATTTCTAAAATTCAACATAACTTAGGTTAAACTGTTTATGTCAATGTATCACTTTCAAAAGTAATATGCATATTGATCATTAGTCTTATGAGCACTTTGCAAAAAGGAATTTTGGGTTTACAATATATATATTCGCCCAGTATCACAAGATACCTTTTAAGTGTCAAAAAAATATATATTCTATTAATACTTAAAAGCATGTATCTCACATATTCGAAAATATGTGTTGAAAGTTTCGATGAACAGCAACCACTACAGAGCAATAAGTCCCTTATACCAATAAAATATTACTCTGGTTTATTTTAAGAATCACTTGAACTATCTGACATAAATCATCTCATAAATACAATTACAATTAGGCTTTAAGAAACGCAAACAAAAAATAAAGGTAGAAAGACGGTAGTGATAATAACTATCACCTTCTCGTGGTATTGCTTCACCAGTTGCAAAAACTGTTCAACAGCTTGGAATGCTTTTGATCGAACATCACTGAAAATAACATAGAACAATGAGGAAATGAAGAAAGGCTACACAAGAAAAGTCTAACACTATAAGTTGCATAGTAAACAAAGTAGGACAAGAGTACATCAACAATAACAACGCTAGAAAATGAAACAGAAACATCAGAATAAACCATCGAAAAGGGGTGAGAGGAAGGAAGAATAAAAATATCGAGCATGTGATCCTTAGACAGAAATGAATCCACGTGACAGAAAATCAACAACTAACCAGAAAAGAAAATCAAGATGATTGAGCATCAAGTTCCAGAACAACAAGATAACAACCAAGTATGTTCCAAGAACAGGAAACAAATAGAAGTACTTGCTGAGGTGAAAAGGCAGTATAACAGAATGTTCTATTGCACTAATATAGAAGGTTTTCAGGTCCAGTGCCTAGTGCAATAAATGAGTTAAAACTTGGTATCATGTTGAAACTTCTACAAGCCATTGGTAGAGTCAACCTCAAAACCATATTGGTGAATCGTACAATAATCTGAAGTTTGAACTATGAAAAAGGTTTCCATTATGCCGAAGAACAAATTGCACAGAAAGTTGAAAAACAATCTGATTTTCAGTAACCAGAGATCATTTCATCTACAGTTCCAAATTGCAAGAGGGCATGTTTCAAATAAATCCTAAAATAACATGAGAGATTTCTGAGATCATTTTCATGAGAAGACAAATGATATCATAAGTACTAATCAGACGATAAAAATACCTGTCAGGATCAATTGTCAGGACAACAATGTTCGGCAAAATTCTGGTAGCAATCTCAGTGGCATCATAATAAGAACTAGTGGCACACAGAGCCATAATACCTTGCATAAAGAGTAGCATTACTTGACAAAATGAAATGAATAGGTTCGATGGGAGGGAAGGCGGGGGAATAGATTCAAGTTATCAGGGAGAAAAGTTGCCGATTGTCTCACACAAACGGGAAAAGGAATTATGAGGAGATGCTAACCTGAGATCTGTATAATGTTACGAATATGAGATGAATAAAAAAGGTAAAGCTTTACCTGCTCCTCTTGCAGGAGAGAAAGTATCACGCAAAGCTCGAACTGTGAATGCATTTATGAGTACCCTTTTCCTTGTCTGCAACAGCAATAAATCATTTAATGGTAAATTTTATCTTACAATATTCTCAGTATAAATGACCATAGATGCTTCTTAAAGGTCCACATTAAGATGATCAGTAACAAAGTGGAAACTGACCCCTTCATTAAGGTTACTGGCAATATTTCCAAGCAATATGGTCGTATTTGTCCGTATTGCTGGTTCTTCATCAACCTGCATCACAAACAAAAGTTGAGATAGGAACCTCGCCCAGAACTTGAAACCTATATGATTAAACAAAGAAGAAAAGTAGTGTATGTAGGAAATTTTATTGTGTATACTGTATATATTTTCACTTGATCTAGGTAGATTAGAATCATTTCCGTATGGTAGAGAGATCTTATTTGTATGGTAGGTACATATTTCTATATGGTAGGGAGACATTTTATTTTCCTCCTGCAACTAGAACTAGTATTGTCAAGCCTGCTAATAATATTGATCTTGATAATGTTCTTATTGCAACCAAATTTGCACGAGCCAACTCATGAGAACTCATAATTTTTGTGACTTTTTTTATCTATCCTATTGTGTCTTTATTGTCTCTCTAGACTTGCAGATGAAGAGGACAGCTAGTGCAGAACATGAGTTGGTGGCATGTACTACTTGGATGTCGTTACTCCTACATCTTCCCATGCTTTGTCAGCCATTGGGACTCCTTATTAGTAGTATTCTTGTCTCGGTCATCCCTCTCCTTTCTCCTTAAAATGTAGTTTAGTTACTGATCAGCCCACTTATTTCCCGCATGAGTTGCATTTGAGAGTTGGGTAAACACCATCTGGCAGCCATTGTGTTCCTTATCAGTCGTATTTCCGTCTCGGGTCTCCCGGCCATCCGTCTTCTTCCACCCTTTTCTCCCTAAAATGCTTAATTCTTGTTCAGTCCACTGATTTCCAGTGTGAGTCTTGAATGTTGGTAAACATCATCGGGCATCTTTTCCTTTCAGAGTTAATAAATGTAAGTTTTTTTTCGTTTGAGCTAATTCATTGTGATGTTTGAGAACCTATTAGATGTAAGCCAAGGAGGATTTCAGTATTTATTGTTTTTGTGGATGTAATTCCCTTTGACATGGTTATGTTTGCTGAAAAACAAAAGTGAGGTTACTGATATTTTGCAATCTTTATACCAAGAAATAAACCCAACCCAATATTCTATTGAATTGTGCACTCTTCGTACTGAAAATGCTCTCTGAGTTCACCCAAAATATTACTCCATCTTTCTGGTTTCTCGAGGCATAATTCGTCGAACCTCTTGCCCATACACTTCCCAACAAAATGGAGTTGTTGAATGCAAATGTTGCAGATGTAGCTCGACACTGCCATATTACACATACCTAAATATTTGTGGGGTGATTCGCGACTTGCCTCCGTATCAATAGGATATACCCTGTCTTACATTGGAACGTACCATTCTCGTGTCTTCGCCAAAATAAACCTTTTCTCTCGTGCCTCCTTGCGTATTCGGCTGTGGTTGTTTCATTCATAATTCGTTGGTAAATTGTCTTCTCTCCCTATTAAATATATTTTCAAACAGAAAGATTTGTTGCTTTGACCTAGTTACCAAACAGAGTTACGTTAGTGTTCCTGATAAGAATATATTTAAGTTTCCATATTTTAGTTAAGTTACTAAAGTTAGTTAATTAAGGTTAGAATAAGGTGATGGGCTGGGCTTTTGCTTAGGATACATAATTTGTTTTATTCTAGTAGTAGAGTTTCAGTCTCTTAGTGTGGAGAAAAGAATAGAGGAGCCTTTGGCTTATACAGGCGATATTTCTAATCGGCGTTCACACTTGGGGCAGGCTCGCCTGCAATTGTTTCCAGTTCTTCTCGTTTCTTTCATTTTCAATTAATGAACAATTTCAGTTTCGACTTTCTTCACTCTATCAATTGGTACAGCCTGCCGCTCCTTGTATGCAAACAAGGTCGGACGCCCATTTGGAGAGGGTGGAACAACGTTTGGAGATGATTGAGAAGGGCCTTGACGAGGTACGTACAGAATTATTCTTCCATCGAGGCTATATTTGCCGTCATTATAAAGGACAAAAAAGCCTCCACTGAGGCTGATCCATCTCACACCACGATCCCGCCAACTGCGTTTTCTAGGCCGCCTAAAATTGATCTCCCCTCTTTTAATGGATCTGACACAATAGACCTACCAGAATTTGAATCATATGATTTGCCTCGTAAGTTCGTTGCAGTTGATCAATTTCAAGAGTATTGAAAGAAGGAATTGCTCAAGTTGCGATCAATCTTTATTTGATTTGAATCACAAATACAAATCCATTGTTGATCGAGACTGATGAATCTAGCGCATAATATCCATTGATAATTGGAGATAAATGTGATAAAGCTTTGACAATCAAGCACCAAGGAGAGATCGAACCTCGAGATACACAACTTGAAGTTCTGATGAAATTTTCTGCTGAAGAAAAAGAATCAGTCTTGTTGAACCTTCCGATCGGCTTATAAATTTTCCATTTCCAAATGCAATCAAGTTGCAAGATCTGGAGTTGATCAAAGATCAAGGTATATCGGTTCCCTTCAGCGTTCAACCATCTCAAACCACCACTGCAGGCAAAGTGGTGTTTTTAGTGCCTGACATTCATGTTGCACCCATATTATATTATAGATCCACGATGAGACGGCGGTGAGACTGGCGTCATTTGTGAAAGATCGGGGACGGCGAGAACTGATATAACACCGTCGACAAGATGGAGGTGGCGGGCGTAAGTTAGCACGGTCCCGTCGGACTGTGAATCACGACGGCCAATGGAAGGGGATGGTCGAAGGAAGGCAGTCGCGAGGTGGCTTGGCCTCGTCGCGTCGCAAAGAAAAGTGGATTATATTGGGAGAAGGTGGGGTCACGGCAATTTTCCACGGGCGAGGGTCGGGAGACGGCTTGGTCTCGTCGAATTCCATAAAGAGACAAGTCTAAAAATCACTTGAAGTGGACATGGGTTTTCGGCAGCCTTTGGGACATGGCTGTTTTGACCGGGAGAGTATTGATACGTATCTATATTTAAGTTCCACATTTTAGTTGAGTTATTTAATTAGGGTTAGAATAAGGTAATGTGTTGGGCTTTTGCTTAGGAACCCTATTGTTTTATTTAAGTAGTAGAGTTTAGGTTTCTTAGTGTGGAGAAAAGAATAGAGGAGCCTTCTTTGGCAGGAGAAATCTTGATCGGCATTTGCGCTTGGGGAAGGCTCTGCAATTGTTTCCACTTCTTGTTTCTTTCTTTTTCAATTAATTATCATTTTCAGTTTTGAGTTTCTTCTTGAAATCCGCCCGCCACTCTAATCAGTCCCTGTTATATTGTTATATTATTTTAATTGTTTAAATTATTTTAACTGCAATTGTACATGTGGACCAACGACCTGCTATACCATGCTATATCATCCTGCCTATCCCCACAATCCATACCTCTCATTTCATATATTACTACTATCTCTCACCCCCTTTGCAGGTGTGCACAGGGGTTCCTTTGTCGTCGTCCCCTTCTCCAACAAGAAGGGCTCATGAGATGCTCTTTTCCCCTGAGCGATCTACCAACCTATTTCTCTTTGTAAAGGTATTCGTTCATGCACCGCACATCCTTTATCCCATCATGTCCCATCTTATTGTCTTGGTCCAACTTTCCATGCTTTTGTTGTTTCAATATCTTATACAGTAGTTCGAAATTCTTACCAAGGCATACATGGCGAGCTACCCTACGATGGGTAAAGGAACGTTTCATGGTTACATGCAACAGATAAGAAAATGTATGCTCCTATTTCTAACAGTACATGGGAAGTACATGGAACTTATGACTGATCTACCTAACGCTTCCGCTTGCACTGAAGATTAAAATCAGTAGTGTCCTTGGAACCGTTGACTTCAAGCTACACTGACCATTGGTACACTTTGTAGTGTACAATAGACAAATAAATGAAATTGTGATTCTCATTGTTCATGTTGACAACATCCTAATATCGAGAAGTGATATGCATGAGATTGATGAAACAAAAGAAGTATTTGCAAAAACATTTTATTACTAAGGACAACTGGTGCCCAAAGTATTTTGTTGGGAATTGAGATCGTGGATTTAAATGGCAACACCTTGGCCATGGTGGAATGGCGTAGCAGGTGTTTCAGTTTCTGCCAGATGACACCCACTTTGTTGTGGGTTTGCCGCGGTAGTTTGACGATCATGGCGGCATAGTGTGAAGATGACGGCCTTTGGTTATTTTGGGTTGGCCCAATGCATATAAAAATAAATATCAATTGGACTTGCCCCTTGCCCAATGATTAGAAAAAAGAATGCATAATACAAAAGCAGAAATTAGGATCGGCGGGAAGTTGAAAACCTTAGCCTCGCACAAGAGAAGAACCGCCTCCATCCACCAACCTTCCTCTGTCTACCCTCCTCCCTCTCTCTAGCAACCCTCCACCAAGCAAACCTAAACCTGGTTAAGTGTTTTGTTCCCTCTTTCTTTTTTTTTTCTGCTTTTCCTTCCTTTTTCTGTGTCTTCTCTTATTCCAGTTGAATTATTTCCTTTTGTGTTTCTTTTGTTCTTTACTTTGATCTTATTCCAGCGCTTATATTAGTTTTTTACTTCTTTTTTTTTATCAGAGAAAAGAGAAATTATTATTATATTATTATTGTGTAATTTAAAGATGCAAATTTCTAATGAAATCAGTATTCAACTATTGATTAAGTAACAGGCGGCAGCTTTATAAAAAATAAAAAAAAAACTAAAAAAAAAACTAAAAGATGAGTATCTATATTATTTCAAGAAATGTCAAGACAGAAACGGGATCTCCTCTCAAACTACTTCCAAGTCCGGTAATAAAACCGGTATTGGGTGGATGTTATGCCAGGCACCGAAGAGAGAAACACCGTAATTGTAGCAAGAAAGTTGTGAAGGGGGAATAACTAGAGCCAAGTATTATTTGATGGAAAAGCGGGGAGAGGTTGCTCCATGCAAAACAATGTCTGAAAGAAGTCCGAGAAGAATTTTAGCAGATGAGAAGGCAAAATCGGAAACCGGCGATACCAACAATTCAGTATATTACAATTGCAATTGAGATTACCTTATCTCGTCGTGGTGCTTCCAGCGAAAGAACGTCGAAATGAAAGGTCCAATAGATCAATTTTTCCGAAAGCCGGATATTGCTATTAGCAAGAGTGAGAAAGGGAAGCTAAAGCAAGCGAGTATAAGAGGCGTGCGACAAAGGAGAAACAGCTGATGAAGTAATCATTGAACCTTAATTAGTATTTTTGTAATTATTTTATGTTAAATTCCTTCAAAGAGGAGAAATAGTTGCACGATTTGGTGTTGTCAAGTACAACCAAAGAGATTTAATGTTAGAGATGAACTTAACCTTTCACTCGATCACATTGACTAGTGTAATGAGTTGTTAGTTGGTAAAATGGATGATCATGATGATGCCCAAAGGGAGATGGTGTTGGATGATGATACCACATTGAATTGGGAAACTGCATATGAGGCTTGAGGCGTTGGTGAGCCAATAACATATACTAGGCGAAAGGCCGCAAAAAGGAAGAAGCAACTAGGTGGTGGTTCGAGTACTAAGAGTGTTCCAACTCAAAGAAACAACAAGCTTCTAAAGGAAAAAGGTAAGAGATTGAAGATGACGAGGAAGTGGATTTTGGAGATCGGGATGAAAAATCTCAAGACAGAGGAATTTGTTAATTTGGAGGAGAAGATGAAGAGGGATATGCTCTATAGAATGATGATAACTGGGAAGATGATTATGTCAGGGTTGAGGCTAGGCTGAGGCTGAGGCAGGGTTGAGCCTGAGGCAGACAATTAGAGATTTGATTCGTGTTTGATTTGCTTTTTATGCTTTTTGTTTGAAGTATAAACTTGTGGAATGGTTGTCATTTGTGCTTGATTGACTTCCTATTTTTCTTTTCATGTGTGGTTATCTTGAAAAGTTGAAATTTGTGAATGATGGTTGGTATTTGTTAATTTGTGAACCTAGTGTCTTTTTTTCTAAATGATATGGTGCTTTTGTTTATATATTTGATGCATACGTGTTCAAAAGTAAACATCATTGGGTCCACCATGGCTTCCACCATTTTTCGCCATGCCATCAGCCATTTATATATGGCGGATTCGTTGCTTTCCGCCAAGGCCCACCATATTCCATTAATAACACGTGTCCCATCTCTCGACATCACCTCGCTTATAGGCTGCTGACGCGTGTACCTCTTGCATCGCCTCAAGCGCCCATGTGTGCCTCAACCAACAAAAATGTAGAAACTTCACGAAGTAAAACTAGGATACTCTATTTAACATTTTTTAGATGTTGTTAAAGTAAAATTTCCTTAATCCCCATCCCCGGAGAAAACGAAAAAACTATGGTTTAATTCAAGAAAAAAACAACAAGAATTACTATGGAAATTTTAAGATGATTTTGCAACATGCACTTATAAATATGCTGTATCATTTATTTTCATTCTTTTTCCTAAATGTGGAGGCATGTTCGCTAGGCGGCCATGGCCTCCTCTAGTGCTCAAGGCGAAGCTGTGAGCAAATCGCCATGGCTCGCTATTCACCTTTAATAATTATGATTGAGATTGCTCACATTAAGTCTAGAGTCTCAGAAATAAACTAACCGAGACTGAACTGCTTAGAACCAAAAAGGATGAACTCTCATATGGATGTCAATTCAAATATTTGGGATGATAGTGGAGAATTCATTGAGGATAAGGTAAACGGCTTGTCAGAAACTCATTTACTTAACATAGGCCTGACATCTCCTTTGCGGTTGGAGTGGTTAGTTGTTTCATGGACAACCGGATGCAAGTCCTCTTAAAACAACCTACTACCAGTGTATTGTGATAACCAAGCTATTCACATTGCAAGTAATCCAGTTTTTCATAAGAGGACCAAGCATATCGAGATCAATACAACATTCTGGAGTGGGTAATAAGCCGGAAACTTTAGAATGTAGTTTCATATCACCGTCCAATCAAGTTATTGATGTATCACTAAATCGTTATGAGGAATATATTTTTTTTTCTAATTATGTGACTAACTATAAATGATTGACATATAACCTCAAGGAAGTGTTGGAGATTTTATTGTGTATATATATTTCATGTATATTTAGGTAGATTATAATCATTTTTATATGGTATGGAGATTTTCTTATTTTGTCAGAAATTGTAGTGTAACCTAGTCTCTACTCCCTCAATAAATATGGGAAAATGGGAGTCCGTCATACCTCAAACATGCACAGAGATTATTCCTCTCTCTTCATATTTTACAGGGTTAAAAAAAAAAAAGAAAATTCAAGTATAGCTCTGGTAGCAGCTACACACACAAGTAGTACATACCTGTAACTTTGAAAGGTACTTCAACAATGACCCTGATATTGTCCGCTGCGAGAGCTGTGACAAAATAAATAATAATGAATAACCAATAAGAGGGAGAAAAGCAATTAAGTTGGTACAAGATAAAACAGCATGCTGTTGGTTCAACACCAAGTATGAAAACCTGTATCACTCTAATGAACTGAATAGCTATTAATTCACGTCAAATCATCTAAAGCAACATTTGCAATACAGTTCAAGTCTCTAATACACTAAAATCATATACGTGTTGGAGCCCATACCAACTACATAGCAGCAGACCCCAAAGATAATGTTATCAGATAAACACTATGTGCGCAAGTATCATGCAGTATGGATTACTTAAATGATATATTATTCTACTTTAGTCCTCAAGCAGCTAGACACTGGTGGACATGTTAGTCATCAGTTTGCAAATCAAGCACAATAAGGGTATCCAAATGACATGATACTTTGGAAGGTATTCTCACCTTAGGAGCCAGAACAAGCATAGATTTCAGCGTCAACTCCCGCAGAAAAGCAGATGTGTCGGAAAACCCATTGGAAACATGATTATAAACCTGTTATCAGACAAATAATTTCTTGACATCCTTCATATCATCAACAGTACGTCATAAGTTTGTACACTTCTCACAAGGGAGATTGAACTATAAACACAAAATCATCATACGACATACTTGTTCATCAACGATTTGTGCAGATAATGACTCGCCATATTGGTCAATGTGCTGAAGAAGACCAACGCGAATAGCACGATCATGAGATGCAAAAAGCTTGACAATAGTTGGTAATACCTACAGAGAAAAACAAAGATCAAGAACAAATAGTTGGGTTTCATTAATAATCAGTAACGCATAACTAGTGTTATCAATGGAGGATAGCAGAAAATGGCAGCAGGTGAAATCCCGTGGTTAGTCAGAAGTATGCCATGCCATACCTCCAAAGTGTCGCCATGTCACAAATCTGATAATACCGGGCACCGCCAAACTTAAACAAGAGTTGAAATAAACGCTTACATACAGAATAAGGATCACTAACCTTAAGACCATATTCTTCTGCTGAAAGGCAAGCTCCCATTTTCAACAGTGCAGTCAACGCAGGCGCAGTAGCTGAGCCAAATTCTAATGCAGATGCTAGCAATGGAAGCAGCTAAACAACCCTACATTCTTAGTGAACTGACTGGCATAGGATAAACAACAAAAGATTGGTCATTTGGATACCTTTTTCTGCACAATCTCGTGTGGTAGCTGGTCTGCGAGATTTGGAAGCTTACGGAAAAAATTATCTTTTTCCACACTGTCTTTCAAGTTAAGAATTTCCATAAACTGTATGGTCTCCACCAACTTATTTTGAAAATACTCTGTCGAAATCACCAGCAAATCTTAGCTCATGAACATATACAAAAATTAAATTAAATTAAATTAAAAAAAAAAATCTAAATCAAAATCAAAATATGTAGTTGAAGTCTAAAATTGGTGATTCCATATAATTGAAGTACCCAACCAAAACTAACATAGGAGAAAACAAGATGGCACACCTCAGTATGGACATTATGACTAGACAGCAAATAGTAATCAGAACTACATGCTAACCACACAGAAGCATGGTTAAGGGTTATGCTAAACTAATCTGTTCAAGACAAGCATTGTGTACGTGGAACAAACTTTAAGTAAAATTTGAGACAAGACGAACAAGGCATCCAGTTCCTAAACTAGCAAAAGTAAATTATACTGCCCCCAGAACATTATACAATACAAATGAGCAAATTGCCTTCATGCTAGAACCAATAAGAACCAGAAAAATGAGTAACTGACTCATTAACTGTGAAATTTAAAGTACAATAGGAACCAATGGTGCTATCGTGTTCCATATATAATTAGTATTGACACTCAGCAGCCAACTTTTGAAGGTTTCAAACTTGAGGTCTAGCTCACACCAAATCTCACAACTCAAATGATTAAAAGAGAAGAACATAGACCTCCATTCCTAAGCAGAAGCCACAATGCTGCCTTTCAATTATATTTGTAAAGAACTAATGTGCAGAAATTCTATGGTGCCCATATGGACACCATAGAATTTCTGCCTAATGTGCCCCAATAAGAAGGTTGATATTTTATTTTATTTTATTGGTTTTGCACTTTGTGTCAAGGTTGAGGGTTAAAAAACACAAGGTGAAGGGAAACATACAGTGATATCAAGAATCAAGGAGAAATAAGTTCATAATGAACAAAAGCCTCACACTTAAATATCAACTTCTGAGGATAAAGTTTTAGGCTGAATAATGACTCTGGTAATGAGTATTTGCTGACATAAGATATATAGGTCAAAGGCCACACACATCTTGATGAAAAAGGGAAAAAAAAAAAAAAAAATGAGTTGCGTTAATATCAATCATTGGGATCTCAATTCAGACCAACAGGCTTCAAGACATTGACCACAATCTGCAGACCTTGAGGACAAAGTGCAGTCTTCAGTTATCAAGAGAGTAATATGGACCTCAAGTGAGAGAAACCAACATCAAAAGGAATACCACTTGAGCAACTACCATCATAAAATGTCCAAGGCCAACAGACCATGTATCACATCCAGGCTCTTGCAGCATTAAAATCATTAGAAGCCAGCTTTGACATAGACTTGAAGAAAGAAAATCCAAACAAACATGTCTAACAAGTAAACCCAGGACTTGGAATGCCGATTAAGGTAAAAGGGAAGTGAAACAGCCACTGAAACAACATGTCTAACAAGCAAACCCGAATCTTAGAATGCCAACTAATGTAAAATGGAAGTGAAACAGCCACTGGCTTACTGGTATTTAAAATTCACAAGCAGATATCAATGAACATAGGAAAATATTGAGTGAAATACTATAGGAATCATCCAAAGTACATTACATAAATTGCAGTGTATTATAGGCTTATAGTTATGAGCAACAAAACACGGGTAAGAAAGACGGGAAAAGGAGCAGATACCTTAGAGAAAATTGATGTTGTACTCTTAGGGTATGCTTGGATATAAATCAAGTTAAGTTTTTATTTTTATTTTTTTTTTTGTTAACCAGAGTTAATTTTGAAAAAGTTGGTTGAGTTAGGTTTGAGTGGGATTTTGAGTTTGTAATAAAATAATATTTAAAATAAAATGACTAAAGTTGAGTTGATGTAAAAGCAGGTGAGAATTGATTGGAAGTGATAAGTAGTTAAACTTAAATGGAAGATGAATAGTGAATTAAAGTTGATGTGATGTGTGAGGATTATTGATTGGTATTATTTAATTATATTGATAATATTGAGAAAGGTTGGGTTGAGTTAAATTTGTGTTGTGGTCCAAGCAAGATTTATATCAGATTGAGAATGATAATAACTATGATGGTGTTTACCTTGTTAAAACTACAAAATAATTAAAAATGCTGATGCATACATCAACATAGCAGCATTTCTAAACAAACGATGAAAAACAAAACACTAACTAGTGTAAACTACAACGTGAGAATCTACTTATCTATATTTCAACCCCTAGACTCGCAAATAAGAAACAGGATTTACCGCTATTTTCCAGAAGTTTAGAGGGATTCAATCTGCGGGATGGCATTGAACTCAAAAGACGCTGATAATCTTGAAGTAAAGACTGGAACAGGGAAATAAACAGTTCAAAAAGAAATTAGCAAACCAAATGGTTATAGAAGCGCCAACAAATGAAACGTAAATAAGCATTGTAATTTCTCGAGACATATGCAAGCTTAATAGATTTTCTAATGTGACAACACCCAAATCAAGTTAGTGGAATGGTAAACAAACAGGTCTCACCTTGGGTATGCTGGTGGTGTTTCGTAAATCCTCGGTTCTACTCAACTTCAGGCCAGAGAAGAGTTCATATATTAGGCATCCTACAAATGGCCAATCAAAAAAGTAGAAGTGGTTCTTTCAGGGGAATGAAAAATAGAAAAGAAGGGGGGAGCTACAACATAGCCAAAAGAACAACGATACAATCAAATAAAGAAAGGCGGAAAAGGAACAACTTCCAATATGAGAAGGGAACCAAACAGAAACAAGAGTGATCGAGCATAATTAAGCTGACTTTTGTCAACTGGAAGAGCATAATATGAAGATGAAGCAATTGGTTGTTCATATAGTATTTGGATCAAACATTATCCTAGTTTTCCATGCTAACATAAGTATGGGTTACGAAAAAATAATCATCTTAGCTCAATCTACATCCAAACTTTGAATGATTCAGAATACATGAGTAGCCAAAAGAACAACGATGCAATCGAATAAAGATAGGCGTAAAAGGGACCAAGATTTAATATGAAGGGAACCAAACAGAAAAAAGAGGGATTGAGCATAATCAGGCAGACTTGTGACAAATGGAAGAACACATAATGAAGGTGAAGCGATCGGTTGTTCATGTTTGGATCAAACATTATCCTAGTTTTTCGTGCTAACAGTATATATAATCTACATCCAAACTTCCAACGATTCAGAATACACAAATAGCACAAACTGATATGCACAATTACCTTGACTCAGAGGAAATCACAATCTTCAACAAACAAATATGAGAGAGAATGTCATAAATGAACCCCAGCAGACTTGAATCATATAAATCATACATTAAATTGACTTCGGATCAAGAAATTAAGCCTCCATTCATCCACATATTAGTGTTGCGATCAATCCCAATCCTTCCATCATATAACTTACTGAAAGACTTCATACTAAAGTTCAAAAGGAAACTCACCCAAACCCCAAGAATCTATAGCCCAAGGTGGTGACTTTCTGATTACTGACCAGTCAGACTTTAACAACTCTGTTGGTTTGTATTGTGAACCAATTAGCCATTCATTTTGCTGTGTCAGAAACAAAAGTAATGGTAGAATGAAAATGGCCTCTAATAATTTGATAGGAAATAATTAAAACATTGAAACGTAGCAACATTAGCAATATCTTTCAACAAAACATTAAATAAACAGAAAGCTCACAAGATTAGGATTTCTTATTTAGAAGTCAAATAAGCAGTTTCAACATACATATAACTCACTTCTACCAAATTCTACACCTCGAAAGGGCATGCCATTACCATTTCTATTTTCTGAATATTATTTTTTCAATTTGTCACAGGATGCAGTTTGACTTTCAGCCCAAGACCTTATTATATGTTTGCTTATCACCTATATTTCTTTCTGTAAAATATTTAACAACACCAAGATTGAAATGCATATAGTAATTTCGAATAAAAAAAAGGAACCATTTCAGAAAGAAAGCAATTTACCATATGTTTTTATGTAAATACATATACTACTGCAAGCAATTAAGATTAACCGTCAAATGAGCATATCAACCCACCCAGTCAAACTTCACATCGCACTAATTCAAGATATTTTCATATGCAGATCCGAAAATGTGTTTAACTGAAATGTTTTAAATTTGAAGAAAGCAGTATAAAAATGAACCTGCTTTAAATATATATATTTATATGAAAAAAGAAAAGGAAAGAAAAAAAGAAGGATAGGATGTCATAGAGTAGAACAACATTTCGGATTCGAAACATTATGGCATATATTTGAAATGAGCTCTAAGGTTGTGCATCTTCAAACAAAATAATATGCATTCTAGAGCCATTAGTACGGTTTTATACGAAAGACAATAGCTTTTCCTGACAATTGGAGATAGAGACGCCAATTTTCAACTTTAACCACACAAAAATACAAGACAACAAAGAGCAGCTTGTTGGTAAGACGCTTCACCTATGACCGATAGGTCATGGGTTCGAGTCACCGAAGAGGGAAGTGGGAACACTATAGATCCTCCTTTTTTAAAAAGAGAAAATAATAACAATAAAATAAAAATAAAAATAAAAAATAACACAAAAATACAAGCCAAAATCGTGTTTGGCCAGTAACCCAAGTAGAAAATGGTGGATACAAAACTCAGAACTCACAAGCATTGGTCCAGTAGAAGCTTCACTATTCCCATCAAACTCAGACAAAACATCAAAAGCATGAAGTTTCCAGTCCAATGTTTGAGTAACGACAACACTAGCCATACAAACATTACCATGAACCTGCAGCAGCCAACATGGTTATATTAGTCTTTGCACACATGGGTACATTAGTCTTTGCATACACAGGGCAAAACAGGATACAGTTAAGAATGGGAAGTCAGTGAATCCCTCATTCTTCTAAAGCTAGCCATATCCAGTTGGAGAGAAGCACAGTTAGTTTATTAGTCTTCAAACAAAGGGAAAAGTTGCTACAAAACAACGGCCCATAAAATTCAAGATGCATACCAATTTACAATCATTATTCAAGAAGCTCACAGCTTTAGCTATCCGGTGCAGTCCCCATGCATAATATTCATCCCTGACAAAAGATGAGATAAGCTTACAAACAAACTGAGTTTTTATGTTCTGGATAAACAGGAGAAACAGACCCTGAAAAACTCAATCTCATAAAATTTAACTTAACTTGGTCTTGATTTGTATGAATGCTCAGATAATGTGATTAAACCCACTAATTATATAACTCATGTGACAGACAAATAATTACAAAAATAAAAACTCGACAATATTACGATATAATTTTCTGAATCACAATTCAAATGAAACTGCATCAGTAAGGAAAGTACTTTGTACCTTTGGCTGCCCTCTAAACCCAATTCCTTGATCTTTTCAGAAAGCGGCATAACAGGCTCAGTCACAATATAGATGGTAACCTTTGCACTTGAACCTTCCAAAATTTCAGCCTCCGTACTGTGCAAAAATGACAAAATATTTGGATGTCTGACCTGAAAAAAGATAAACACAACCTTCAGCGCTGAGTTACTAGATTAATACACAGAAATCAGATGTATATGACTCTTTGCAAGCAAGACTCAAATGAAAACAATATAGGACAGAGAAAATGAAGGCATACAAATTAAAGGACACTGGCCAGACAGAAATCAAATAATCTTCAATGAAGAAGCTTCGAATGCTAGAGTCTTACCAACTCATAAGCCTAAATGTAGAGATATTTCTGTGTTATCTCTGCCTTTTTTTTCTAGAATGGCCTTCTCACTCTAGTGAGTTAATTTAATTGCAAACTGAACTGTTACGGAAAAGGATATTTTAAAATTGCAAGTCAACTACCAATGAGGACGAATATATCTTTCATCTAAAGATAAGCTTTTGTTCTGTTCACTATTAGCTATCCTTAATATATAATTTATGGCAGATCATAAACTAGAAGGCACGAACAGGTTTACTTTTACACATGACTAATGATAGTTTATTTCACTGTATGTCACTCTTTCCTTTCATCTTTGGTTGAGAGGAAGGTGGGGATATCTTGGGTTTACTTTTCCTCCTACACAAGCGGTTAGAGTAGGATCCATAATGAGGCTGTTAGTTGCAAGAGAAACTTGCATATGAATTGAAGCTGAAACAATAAAAAATACAGAAACAAAAAGAAAAAATTACCGTATCTAAAGTTTTTACATAAAAAAATGCTGATGTAAAGGCAAATTCTCAAGGCACCACTAAAGATGATGACATAAAGTAGAATTATATACAAATGTAAGAACACCGTGATCAAAAAAGTTCTACAGAAAGTTGCTGCAGGGTGATAAGCAGATCGAAACTCAATCATAGCCAAGAAAAAGGTATTCATAGACATTTCAGTTTGTCTTTAATTGTTAGTGAATACACGCTAAACAACTATAGGCATTTAAGCTAATCAAAATGTGCAGCAAAGGCCCTATACAGCCAATAAGCATAAGAAAAGGGGCAAAACAAGCTAACAAAATTTCTATAATCTGAGTTCGGGAAAATGATCTGGCCCGAAACGTAACACATGAGTTAGTCAATCAAGGATCAGGAAATAAAAAGATAAAGTACTGTTCATCTTGTAAGTGAGACACATCCATCAGTAGCTCACCGTTCGAAGGCGTTTGACACCATTACGACCAGCAGTTAAAGGGCCATCGTTCGCATGGCTCCCTGAAAGAGAGAATATTGAGACAGGAGCCCCATCATCCTATGAAATCAAATAAAATAAATGAAATTAGAGGCCTTGTCCATGATCACTAAGAAAAATTTGGCACAAAAGCACCAAAAGAGAAAAGAACAAAACAAAAAGAACATGATTAAACTTCAAAAATAATAGTAAGTTCAAGGCAAATCAAGTACAAATTACCAGAGCATATATTAATCACATCTAGCCTAGATAGAGTACTTCTGAATTTAAAAAAAAAAAAAAAAATGGTGAACTCATGGTAATCACCAAAATGAAAATGTTAGTTCGGCAAAGTAAATTATCTTCAAATATTTCTCTCGCCCACTCTTTTCTCTTCACTAATTTTGTATTCTTCCATTCTGTTTTGCCTTATTGTACTTCAAATTAAAACATGTAGCAATAGTTTTCATATAAGATATATTGAAAATGAAAGCGTCGCCCTAGAGAAATTGATCTCACTATATCACAACTTAACAAGGAAAATTGGAGAAAATTCGACAAGAAACCAGCCAAATTGTATCAAAATCTGGTAACCACAACTCAATCGCATAGTAAACAGAACAGATAGAAACCTTGGAGGTGCCACGATGATGCACCCAGGAGCCCCATGCTGAAGAGTATGGCTCCCCAATGTTATATGGCAGATCCTTGAGGCCCGCACCCGATCCGCCAACCACTCCTTTCAAGAATTTGAACATCTTCAATCAGAGCCCGGCCCGAACAGCTAGAAAGAGGGAGGGAGTTGAGACGACCTAGTATATGATCTATCCTCTGCTGATGAGAAAACGAACTACCAAAATACTGTGTGGATCCAACGACGACGCTGCACATATTCTCTAGCCACTAATTTTACCGAACTAGCCTTTGCTCGTTGGTCACTAATTTAGTCGAGTAATTAATTTGACAAAAATTTAAGAGGAAGGTTGCGAAGAACTTATAAGCGTGCTTGATCTAATCAATAGCTACTTTCACTCATAAATTTTCTCAATTGCTATTCACCGCCCCCCTATTACTAGTCACCGCCCCCTTGGACGATTTTGCCATTTTCAATTTTTCCAAACATCTCAAAGCAAAGTGTACGGCGAAATGTCTTCAAATTCCGAGGTACGAAAAATTTTCTATCCGGCCGACGAAATTGGACGGCTTTTAGCCCGTCCGACCCCGACCGGACGGTCTAGAAGGCGTTCGGACGGCCGGTTCGGACGGCATAAAAGCTGTCCGAAATCTTGGTCTGGTCGGACTGGCTCTGTCCGAACCGGCCGGCCGGATGCCTTAAAAGACGTCCGGCGGCAACAGCCGGTCGCGACCGGTTCGACCGGCCGGACGAATTTTTTTTTTTCCTAAATATTATTATAAATTATTATGTTACATGTTAGACCATTTTTTTTTTCCAAAATGATAGATTATATTATAAATCAAAATGTACAAATGTGCGAATACACAGCAGCCAACGACTGAATATACAGTAGTCAACAGCTGAAAAAAGTGGGAGGACAGGTCAGAAGACCGCCTAGAGTCCCGACTAGCAACGCTAGAATAAAGCTCGCAACTAAAACTAACCAACTAAAACAACTAACAACAACTAACAACAACTAACAACAACTAAAAGGACCCTAACAGAGTAATACCTGAGTGTCGAATCCCAATGGGATAATAAGGTGACACTCAGGTTCACAGAGGCCGAACGGCCCAGACCAAAAACACGAGACAACAAAGAAACAACACAACCTACCCAGAAACACTAAAAACACCTAAACCGATCTACAACTAACTAACATCCCTCCCTCAGCAAAGACCTCCAAGATTGCCATCGAACAAAGCCTACTACAGGATTAATTCAAAGCACAGGAGCCTCGCTCACCACTGCCAAAGGCCTAGCGATTTTTTTTTTACTTTTTGGAAAAAAATGGCAGGGGCAAAAATGTCCAAAGGGGGCGGTAAATAGTAATGCCCTAAATTTTACACATTGTCAAATAAAAAATTAATTTTTTTACCTCATAAAGTGCAAAAACAATTATACGATAAGTTATGCAAAGACAATCGAAGATAATTAATAAAGTGTGAAACAATTATGTGATAAGCTATGTCACATATACACAAAGATAATTAATAAACTGCGAAAAAGTTATACGATCAACTATGCGAAAGACAGGCGAACATAATTAATAAAGTGCAAACAATTATGTGACAACTATGCGACAACAGGCGAACATAATTGATAAAGTGCGAAATAGTTATGTGATAACTATGCGACGACCAGGCGAACATAATTGATAAAGTGCAAACAATTACGCAATAAATTATGCGATAAATAGGCGAAGATAATTGATGCGATAAGTGTAAGCACCCTCTCCTTATACTTTGAAAACGTCTGAATTTGAAATAAATTTGAACTTTTCGAAAGACGATTTAACTTTTTAAAACTGCTTGAGGGTACTTACTAAAAATTTCTGCTAAACTCATCTGAACTTTAAGTTCTCGGGGTAGCTAGTTCCCGGAACTTATTAACTGATCAATTCATTTAGACATAGCAGAGCGTACGAATACTAGTCTATAATCTGAATTGAAATACTGAACTGAAAATCCAAACATTGTTCAACATTTGAAATAACATGTTCGGAATAATAAAAACTGTTCACTGCGGACATAATAATATGACCACCACTTGCCCCTTGAGTCCCGCAACAGCTGCTAACCTGAAAATGATAATTGTGGTGGGATAATCCATACTATGCAGTTATCCATGATAATGACATGTATCAATAATATCAGCATATAAATGAATAAACTGGTCTCAACTGCTGGTCATCCGTCGGGGATGCTACCCGCTCGACACGGAGGACAATATCATGTGCACACTTTTACCGTTAGGGACGCTATGTTAGTGTTATATACTAAAAGTTTGGCTTTGGATGATATTACACTTTTACCTTTTATGAATGAGAATCATGTAAGATTAAACAAGTTCTATGTTCTGTTGTTTTGCACGTAGACAGAATGGGTCGTCATCGGGCGAATAAAAGATCATTCTATCAGTTACTTGCGAAACAAGAATTGTGGTTCACAACCTAGATGGAAATAAACACCCCATCCAAACGGTTGTAGTGTCAACAGTACATTTGGTCTTGACTAATTAGTTGCACTAGTCCATTTATGTATTGAACAGGATCCTAGAGAGGAGAAGTTCATTTTATACTGATCGTCGTAAACAAATTAGGCCTCGATTAATTAATGCGTTCTCTTAACCCATAAGATATTAAACAGGCATATATATGCAGTATATATTACTTTGATTCGCTTGGGTGAGGTTCAGTTCGCTGGATTAATATTCGTACTGTCTAGGGTAATATTGTTGCATGTATGATATGTTGTTAGGATATTTACGGTCACAATGAGTGTTAATTTAATGATGTCCCCGAAGTGAGTTCATGAAGGATTATTATGCTAAACCCTACAAGTGGATTAAGTTCCGGCATAATAATAATGTGATGAACGAGTGCTAGCTTCGGTGAAATAAATAATATATTAATTAATTCTTGATTGTCAGTAATCAAACTAATTAATGAACATTATATCTTAAACTTGGGGAGGTAAATCGGGTAATTATAATTAGAGTCCCAAATGTTAGGGAGTGCAATAATATTACGTTAGTGGATCGTAATATTATTTAAGTAATTGGAAGAGTGGGCCTGGCCCATAGTTAGTCCATTACTTAAGGAGCCCTATTCCTAATCTCCTAAGGATCCCTACTGTAGCTCTATATATACATCATTAAGCTCATGAGAAGAGAACATGTAATCACAATGACACATGAATTCGGCCGCCCCCTCTCATCTCTCTCTAGATCTCATTCGAGCTTTATCTTCTTCTTGTTGCTCCACCAGTACAAGTTGAAGAGGTGTAAGAGTGATACAGTAGAAGATCCCAAAGGTAATCGAGACCCCGTGATCATCTACCGGAGCCGACGAACCACGACTCGAAGGCCGAGGATCGTCGACGCCAGCCCCGCCGATCGCCGCCATGACTAGCCGGAGGACCGCTACATCTGGCCAGCTCGCGACACGACCGACGACGCGCCACCCAAGCACACGAATCGATCCAACGCGACACGACCAGCAGCTCCCCACCATCTGTTCGCGATCCTAACTTGTTCGTGTGTAGTTCCCAGTCATCCCGAATCCGACATATTCAGAAAATTTTAAGCCGTAAGTTTTCTACGTCAAACTTTAGATCCGCAGCGCATAGGTTTACGTTTGCTATTGAATTCGTAACTTGTAAATAACGAGATCCTTATAGATTCCAACAAGTGGTATCAGAGCACTTGGCTAATTCGTTTTGTAAAAAGTTCGAATTTTTACGGCTTTATTTGACAAGATGTGTTCAAACGCAGCCATATATATTGGATTATATTCGCATAACTTGGTTTTGCAGGAATTAGTTAATCCACTATTATGGCTGATTATGTGTTTGATGAATGTTGTTGAATGTGATGTCTGGTTTTAAACTTGTTTTTAAAGCCTCACACATGCCGGGGAATTAATGAATGAATGTTTGTTATAATTATGAGCCCAGAGGTTGACCGGATTGTTGTTGTATGATGTTTAACAACGATAGTAAACAAAAGCAAGGTGTAATTAGAACGAAAACAACGTAAAATTTTTGTATTATTGTTGTTTATCAAGAGAGTACAGGATGTCGGTTTTTGTGTATAACCGAGTTATTTTTGTTCGTCCGTGTACAATGTGCATAAAAAGGTCCCCGTACAATCATAAATTCGGCTATTTATAGTACGGTGTGTTTGAATTTTCGTACGAGGTAGATCAGATCGCATTTAATGTTGAGCTGCTTCATTAAAGCGGTCTGTAAGATAAGAAGGGGACAACAATGATTACTTTTTATTATGTGGCCCAATCAGGAATGTGTCGTGTCACCTGCTTTGGGAATCAATCACCTTGGACCTCGATTTGAGTGGATAATCTTCAGGGAAGAATATTCGAGAAGTCGGTTTTTTATCTTTTATACGAAGTCGGTTTATCGCTTTAAGTAGGTCAGTTGTCATTTATGTATACGAGGTCGGTATTTGTCTTTTTGCACCGAGGTGAGCTAAGCTTGTTGCAGGAGTTGAGTTGGAGAGAGCATTTGAAGACATAATCAATTAATTCTCTTTTAATCTCAATAAATCAAGTCGGTTGTTAACATATAGGCCCCCGACATTAGTTGGTATTCGAACGGGAATGGCTGCTGATGTCGTCAATACATCTAATAAATCCGACTTGATTTCATTTTTATTCCGACATGCCTGTGTTAACCGACGTCTTCTTTTGTAATCGACATGAGAAGGCCAAAGCATAGTAGCAGTTATGTGTACGTGGCAGTTATCAAAAGACGTGTTTGCATTTAATGGGCGCAACAGATAGAAACATGTTAGTTAGATGGCGGTTTAGGATTGGTCCACTTGTGTTAATGAGGAATGATTAAGCGTCATGTTCGTAAAGGATGCGTCCGTTACACGCGCCGATTCCCAATCATTCAACTGTTATATTTCACCAAGTATAAATTCACGGTAGTTTTGATGTTGAAGAGTTTCACACTTTTAATTACTGAACTTGTCATCTTCCGCTTTCTTTTGTCTTTAAATTCTTCGTATTTCTCTTGGATAATTATATCTTCAGTCAATTTCCCATTCTCACCAGTTTAGGACGTCAAAGTATTTGGTAAGGTTTTGCCCTAATTTTCAATTTTTATATCTATCGATTGAAGTTTTCTTTTTCTTTCAATTTAGAAAAATGGTTTCGCAAGCCGAATCCAGTAGTAGCTGTACAATTTCTGAGGTTAGGATTTTCACCAATGAGAATTTGGAATTGCCGCTTGAATATTATCGATGGGA